TACTGAGGGAGTGCCGCACTGTCAGAGGGTCAGTGCTGAGGGAGTGCCGCACTGTTGGAGAGCCAGATTTGCAGCAGATTCTCCTTTGTGAGCAAGCACTCAGACCCCGGGGTCACACTTCACCTGTTCGGACAGCCTCTGGACCTCGATGACAACAGCCATTCTACTCAGGAAGGCATCACAGAAATGCCTGGCCTTTTTGTCGTCCAGCCAGCAGGTGAAAACTTGCCTGGTAAACCGGATAATGGCAACTCTATCCCTTTCTTAGCCTCCCTGGATCCTGCTCACTGCACTGCTCACCGCAGCACCCTGGTACTCTCTAGAAAGGCAACCTTACCTGGTTCAATATGTTTGAACATCCTCTTCCACACGGCATACTGCAGAGGGACATTAAATCCACCCTGGCTCAGATCTATTGGTAATTCCTTGGGCTTCTTCAATAGGTTTCCTGACCTGTCAGGAATAGGGAGATTTTGGATTAGATGTGAAGTATTTTGTTTTGGTGGGCAGAACATGGAGGGACAATAGAAAGCTCTAATGGAGGTGCAGGAGGACAGGGCCTGTATGTAAATGTGTAGAAGTTTTTGAAGGAGGCAGAATTGATTCAGCGAGTGCGTCATAGTGCAGACATAACCTGGGCTTCAATAATAAGGGCATAGTTTACAACAGCAAGGAGGTGATAATTGAACTTGTGTTGACACCAGTCCAGCAACAACTAGAGTATTTTGTCCTATTCTCAGTATTGTACTTTAGGTTGGATGTGCAGGCACTGGAGAGATTTATGAGAAAATGTTCCAGAGCACTAGACCCCAGTGATCAGTGAGTAAAGAAATCTTAAACTCTTTATAAACATCTAATTTTTGTTTGTTGTTCACATTTAGCTGCAGTCTAATGTTGCAGTTCTAAATTTCCCAGCATTAGACAGGGTCTCTACTGGAAGAATATTTAAAGTTGAAGAAAGCAACTGAAATCAACTTTTTGGTTACTGAGGTGAGCTAGCACTTTTGTTTCAGGAGCACATAAAACCAGGTGTCTTAGTGTGACTCAGCACAAAGTGTGGCTTTGAACAGCGTAGGATGTTTAGAGATTTGGGGGCGCATTGTGGGAAAGGAAGGGCTCCTGTGTTTGTTCTTTCAACTTTTTCACCTTCTATAAATTGGTTGTCACACTACTAGCTGCTTAGTGGGCATCTTATTAGTGGTTAAGGTTTTCAAATGGTTTAAAGTCCGAGAGTGGCACGCTCAATAAAATACATGAACAAGGAAACTAAATAAATGGACTAATTATGGCATTAATTAAGAAAAGCATTCAGGATGGCAGGTCCGTTATGTGTCACAGCTACAACATGTGGGAGCTCCTGGATACCAGTACAGATAATCTGGGATAAACACATTTGTGGTTTAAGTGTTAAAAGCCAGAGGAACTTGGGCTCAGAATTTAAGAGTTGGACATGGCAGTGCAGACACATCAGGGAGAGGACAAGTTACCTGGTTCATTTGTACCAGGAGGCAGCGTAACCTCTCAGGATAAGGACTTCCGATTTGATCAGAGACTGTGTGACTGTAAGCAAGGTATAGGAGAGCAGCAGTCCTTGCAATTGTCCAGCAATGGCTCTCGCCTGTCTTACTGGGATGAGTGTTGGGGCTGAAGGGAGGATGAGCAAACTGACCATGGCACCATGGTACAGGGAGGCATTCAAATATGGGAAGCAACCAGGAATGTCGAAGTTGTGGGGTAGAGTAGGGTGAATGGGATTGCCACCATTCTCTGTAGAAAGCATGAGTTCAGGTGATTGCCAGGAATCGGGACATCTGCTCATGATAGTCACAGGCCTCAGAGGTGCCAACATTGGTATAACTCGGAAAAAGGTGATGGGTGATGTGTTGGTACTGAATTAAGAAGTAAACCTCACAGGTGATAATCTCTGAATTACCTGAGTTACATGCGAATCGCGTTGTAGAAATTTAATGCATGGTTCATAGACCAGGTACAGGAGAAGTGAGTTTTAGTTCAGGGCCCATTGGAATCTTTACTGGGAAAAGTGAGATCTGTACTTTTGGACGGTCTACACCAAAACCCCGCTTGGTGTTCAAGCGAGTCTCACAATTAGGGAAATAGAGAGAATTTTAAATTAAAGACTGGGGGCAAGGGATACAATTTGGGAAGATGAGCTAAATGAAGCAGTAGCATCAAAGTGATAGGGGAAGATATTAATATGGGTGATGATAGACTGTGACAGGAATAGATAAAGAATATAAATCAAAGAATACATCAGCAAATAAGGCTAACCAACAAAAGGATAAACACAAAGACTCCCTATTTGAATGCAGGTAGCATTAAAATCAAAACAGATGTACTGAATGGAGAATGCACATACCGAATCGCAATAAGTAAGTATGACCTTATAGTCATTATAGAGATATAGCTGCAGGTTAACATGGCTGGGGATCTGAATTTCAAAAGCTAAAGGACATTTATGAAGGGTAGGGGGCTAGGAGAAGGTGAAGGGATGGCTTTGTGAATGAATGATGATGTTCGCACATTAGAGAAGGATGGCTTGAGTTCAGGAAAACAAAATGTGGAAACTGTTTGGGTTAGAGATGAGAAAATGATACAGTGAGAAGTCACTGAGGGAATGGTATGCTGGTCTCCTATTGGTAAACCACACAGCAGGTGGAGCATGAATGGGAGCTTATCAGAAAGATTTTGATCTGAAAAGTCAGACGGCCAAAAGAAACCTGCATGGGGAGTTCATGTAAAGTTTCTGGATAGTTTCTTAGAACGGCACATTCTGGATCCCCTCAGACAGCAGGCTGTACTAGACCTGGTATTATGCAATGAGATGCAATTAGTGATCTCACAGTGAAGGCACACTCTGGGCAGCAGAGATCACATTACAATTGAATTTTATCGTCATCTGATGGAGGGAAGATTGGGTCCAATACCAGTATTTTAAACTAAATTAAGAGCAATTATGAGGCCAGGAAAGCAAAGCTAGACAAAGTGAACTCAAAAATTATATTGAAGGACAATTCAATGGCAATACAGTGACAAGTATTTAAGCGGATAGTTCAGATGCACAAAATAGATATATTCTAATGGGTAAGAGCAATTGCAGAGATGGGCCTATCATCAATAAGAACATAAGAACATAAGAACTAGGAGGAGTAGGCCATCTGGCCCCTCGAGCCTGCCCCGCCATTTAATAAGATCATGGCTGCTCTTTTTGAGACTCAGCTCCACTTACCCGCCCACTCACCATAACCCTTAATTCCTTTGCAGTTCAAAAATTTATCTAGCCTTGCCTTAAAAACATTCAGCGCGGTAGCTTCAACCACTTCACTGGGCAGGGAATTCCACAGATTCACAACCCTTTGGGTGAAGAAGTTCCTCCTGACCTCAGTCCTACATCTGCTTCCCTTTATTTTGAGGCGATGCCCTCTAGTCCTAGTTTCACCTTCTAGCGGAAACAACCTCCCTGCCTCTACTTTATCTAATCCCTTCATAATCTTATATGTTTCTATAAGATCTCTCCTCAGTCTTCTGAATTCCAATGAGTATAATCCCAGCCTACTCAGTCTCTCCTCATAATCCAACCCTCTCAACTCTGGAATCAACCGAGTGAACCTCCTCTGCACCCCCTCCAGTGCTAGTAAATCTCTTCTCAAGTAAGGAAACCAAAACTGCACACAGTACTCCAGCTGTGGCCTCACCAGGACCCTA